GCGCAACGAAGCGCACCCGGGGGGGGGGAGGAGAGAGGGAGAGAGAGCGCTCTTTTTCAACATTAAGCGCAAGAGTATAGAGGATGAGGGACATCCGGGAGCCAACAATAGTGCCTGGAACCTTATTTAAACCAAGAAAATAGATCACCTGAGTCCAAAAGGGAAGGAGTACAGGATAGGTGAGTCAAATGAATGTTCATTTTTCATCCCGTCCCGGTTTTTTCCACCATGTAATCAAATCACCTACCCTAGCGCTCCTCCCCTCTTGACGTTTCCAGAAGTATGAATGGCCCCTCAAAAACGAAGGTTGGGAGACAGGAACGGAGACCGACATACATTGAATACCATTTGCTCTGCTCTGTTAATCCTGTGTCAAACTTCGAGTACAGAAAAATATTATTTCTTCAAAGAAGGAGTGAAGAGTTAGCCGATTACTGAAACTTTGTCAAAGGAGGGCGTGTTGTAAATATATGTCGAGATATGTATCCGAAAAAACTAATAATGTGCATGATAATAAAGTAAATGATGGAAATAAATATGATGATAAACAAATGTTTTTCAAAGAAGAAGAAATAATGAAACACTTACCACACAGTATATGGACCTGCAAGTTACTTTGAAGTGGTAAGTATCAGGCTCCAAAACGACCATGGTACTTCCTCTCCATTGCAACTTAGCAGTATTCGCTTGAAAATGGGTTCAAAAATTTCGTGAAGCAAAAAAAGGGAGAAAGAATAGCCAAATTTGCGGTAGAATGCGTGCGGGATACAGGTAGGTAAATTCGGCGTCTAATCATAGCGGCGTTATCGATCGGGCTTCTGTCAGCTGGATGGGCAGTGGGTAGGCTGACTAGCATTGTCAGGAGGTTGAATCAGGTGGACGAGTTGCCCAGCTCACAAACCGAGTCGAATGGGCGGCGCCAAAGAGGCAATTAACGAGTCCATGCGCTCCAATGGCAAGGTGGGTGCGAGGGGCCGCGCCAAACGACCGCCTCCCACACCAGCTGAATTTAGCCATGATCAATTCACTACCGTGAATGTGTACTTACAAGATGTGTAGGTGTAGCGTCGCAAAGAATTCGAAAGAATGGCATGGTAATCAAATTTACCTGTGCATTTGCAAAACAGTCTGGAAATTTTTCACATTTCGTCTTTCAAAGTTTCGCGATATCTACAACAGAACATGAAATATAGCAGATCCTCCATACAAGAGTTAAGACCAAAAGTTAATATCCCCATCATGATCTCGAGCACTTCTGGTATGAAAGTATTCAGCTCACAAAGCGAATCTCTTAATCACTAGATGATCCCACCATTGTTCCACTCTTCACACTAATAAGTAGTGCCCTCTCACAACACCCGTAATAGTTACCAAGCCCCGAGGAATGGTAAGCCACTTTGGAGGTATTAAGCTAACAAAGGCTTAGAGGTACGAGATGCAACTTAATGACCGTAGGGCTTGCATACACTCGATCCGGCGTTTACTAAAGAATCAAAGGGATCTGAGAACTGGTCATGTACTATTGTTCACATATCAAGCATTGAATTATCCATTTGGAAAGTAGGTGCCCCAAGGTAATGTCTCGACTCTGCATCCACTCGTAAGCCTCAGTTTCTGAAATTGCGTTTTTGGTCAGCGAGTAAGCAAAAAAGTTACTTTACGCAGATGTAAACATAAAACGAATCTAAGGCAAGAAACCCATCGGTTGCAGGCTAGTCATATACTTTTCAAATAAACCGAAAAGTAGGATAGTATGCAGTTTCGATTAAGTAGAACAATAGGTTACGTTACGTCACAATCCGTCGTACCTTATCGAGGTTAAACACTTAAGAGTATCCTTCTGTTACACTCTCTGCTATTTCGACTGCAGACTTTCTTTCTGAGTAACCTTTACAGATGCAGAATGAATACAGTTCGACTCAGAATAGAAGGCGACCTGTTTTCTAAGGCAGGCACAGCTGAATAGGTTGGGAGAATAGGCCCACATCGTATTCTGAAAAGCCAGGTGTTCAACCCTTGCCGAGACAAAAAACATGCTCCGCAAATTTGCGGAAGTGGTGCCCGTATGCATCAACCTCAGGCTCAGGGTGAAAGGCCCTTCGACGAAGTTGACGAAGTTCACGGAAGAGAGATCAGGTTGACAGTTGTCAGAAAAGGTTCTGTGGATCTACCAAGAACAACTCTAAGTGTTCAACGGCAATTGATAACAACAGCTGCAGGTGCTGTTTGCTAAATTTCAAAAACTACACAGGCTAAAAGCAGCGTCAAACAGCGTAGAAAGAGGTAAAATTCGCAGCAGTCTTACTGGAGGCACCATACATCTTCCCTACTTGAAGTTTAATTCCTTTGACGGGAAATTTCTTACAGACCGCGACCATATTCATAATAACGCCCTCAAGTAATCGAGTGTATAGGAATAGCTAGGGGGAGGGGGCAGTATGAGAAGTTATCAAGAAAGATTGCCCATAGAGTTGTATACGAATAGGAAGGACAGCTTCTTCTCCAGGTCCCAATTACTGGCAATGATCTTACTCCGGCGAAATCGTTGAGAGAACAGATTTCACACACGCTCTCGTATTTGATGAGATCCAAGCTAGAAAATTTTGAATTGAAAGTTCGAAAACTGATGGTGGGCTTGATGGCTACGACTAGGTGAACTATTTCTAGAAGTATAAAAAGCCTACCACACATAAACCACTAACCCTGAACGGATGCAATCTTAGGTTTTAATTGATGCCTTATCTATTGCTTTTGATAAGCGCCTACGAGCACAGCGGCCGTACGATGCGAACGAGTATTGCTGTGCTGCTCGGACTGCTCTTCATCGCTGTCTTCTTGTTCGGCATATTCCTTCTACTACCATTCCCTATACTAATATTCCCTAATATTGTTAAATCACAAGTCTACTTCAGGTGAGGAAAAATTTACTTCAATCACATGCTCCCAAGTAGAGCTATGAAGCCAACTAAGCCAGAGCCAGGAGAGCCGATTAAGGGAGCAATTTACTCTCCTGAATTAGATGAGATTGCGAAATATAAAAAACTAGAGCTCGTCAGTTACATTGACAAATTGTTGTTGGATGGATGCATGGCACTATTTCCTATCCGCTTACAATGTGCGGCGTTTCCTGGTTAGTAACCTCGCTACGAGTAAAGTCATAGTTGGTTGGGCTACTTATCCTAGCTGCTTTGCTACTCGGCATACCGTCCAGGAACTACTCCTATCACCCGTACTCAGCAGACAACAGTTGTAAAGGATATTACTGTGAATACCGGATTTTTCGTCGTCGGTTCTTTCCATTTAGAAAGTTCCAGTACGCGACAATAGTTACATTTTGAAAAGTGGCAGAAAAACTGTTAGAGATGAGATGGTGTCGCTTAAAGAAAGAATCACACACGCATTCCTTCTTCTACTGTCTCGATCTGTTCAGCCTACCTCGACCTTTTTTAAAGGAAGAAATATAGTATAATAGGTTGGTATGGGGTCTCATCTGACTAAAGAGCTGACGCCTAGCATAAGTTGTTTGGGAGAAAGTAGTATAAGTTTTAAAGGCTCATTCTTGATGAAAGAGGGGNNNNCACTACGCTACACGGTTAGTACATTAGCAGCGAATGATGTTACTTCGCTGTCCTTGTGCAATAATATCATTATTATTGCGGATCAGCANGGGGGGGGGGAGTAATTCATTCGGGGCGCAGCCCATGAACCCCGCTTTTCCTTCTCCTCTTCCTTCCATCACTTCCGCCAACAGTTGTGTGTGAATATTTAGATGTCGTCATTCGTACACAAGCCATGTACTACAATATTTACCTTCAGTCCAGATGGAGTGAGACCTCAAAGCTCATTGGTATCATCGAAAGTTTCGAACCCAATAAGTAACAGAAACGGAGAAGGCCAAAAGGAGTTATATCTCAGACATCTATTTCGAAACGAAACGCGATTCAAAAAATCCTACTTATTAAATCCATTAAGTGTTTGGACCTAGAACGTCCAAATCGTCCAAATTTTGCAGGAGACAGGCGACATTGTGGGAACACTAACGAAATGTGATAGGACTAGGCCTCGCCACAGGAAGCGGGCGTTAGCGAGAACTGTTAATTCAAACCCACAGCAATCAGATTCGGTAGTAGTACACGCGGGAGGTTGGGAAAACTGGTGATAGTGGACTAGACGAGACTAGACTAGACTCCGCTCACGTGGGGTGAAGTGTGAACGAAAATTGGCAAGGGTGCGGGCGGTGGAATGCTGGTGAGTTTGGCACGACCTTACTCCGCCCTTGAGGATCGGTTCAAGCGAGAAAATTATTAATTCGGAAATAAGCGTTCAAATTTGGCACGAATACAGGCGGCAGGATTAGGACACCGATGGCAGGCGGTAGTGAGTGAGAGAACTGGATCCCGCTCGCGGGGGCGTAGCATTTAGCGGTTGTGGGGGGCTAGCTCTTATACAAGAAGAAGGAGAGCCCGGCGCCAGCCAGACGATTGGACTAACTAGAAATGAAAATTTTAAGCATCTATCAATCTCACTCTTGATGCATTTGATCTCCGCGTAGAACTGTAGGGTTCTTGAAAGTGTATTCAGTTTGTTCAGTTTGCACAATGTTTTGAGGTGGGGAGGGGACTATTAGGTTTCTATCGAAAATGATGAAAGGAAAACGATGTGAAACCGATTTAACCAGACAGTACTTAATGAAGTTTGCAACATACATGCAGCAAGAGAAAACAGTATATCACTATGATTGGTTGGCAGTTACTTTTTTAAGTAAACACGCACGGGCATGAGGCCTTTCATTAGGTTGTAATAGTTTCTCGGGTGCTATAATAGTTTGGAAATTTGCAGGCAAGAAAAAGATGGGCAGTTTCCCAAGGCTACGTTTTACTGGTCTCGGCTTCCTGCAACTCAGTACTTCAATTTCTACTATTTCAATGTGACGAATCCTGACGAAGTGCTGTACAATGGTGAAAAAGCTCGTTTGGTGGAAGTTGGGCCGTACGTCTGGGCGTGAGTTATTCCTTTGAATTAATTTCGATCATGTTTAAAGAACACTGCCCGTCTTGAACTACGATAACTATACAGCTCATTGTAATAATATTCCATCTCTGTTTTAAACCTACAAATAATTAATCTTATTCGCTGAGGACTTTCCTCAAGGTTTTAGTTCGACAACATTTTGTTTCGATTTTTGACCAGTCCCGAAACTTCTTCCTTTCGCCTATTTATATGTCTTTTTTCCTCTTTTCATTTTTGTTCTTCTGACTACCTTTTGTGGAAAGTTAGCAGATTGCACGCATTGAAAGGTTTGGAGGTTAGCATATACATCATTTCATGGGATTTAGATATCTCGTACCACAACATGGCTTTATTTATCACGTGAGTGATACTCAAGTGAATTCTTAGTGGGCTTTCTCCCTCTTCTTTTTGAGAAACAAAATCCTTCTTACTCCAAGTGTTGGCATGCAATATTAGTAGAACCCCAACCTATTCTGGAAAAAAAGAGAAATCAAAATGAAAGAAATATTGTCTCATAGTTAGAGCGATACGTGCCTCAACAAATCTATCTAGTGGGCTCTACAAAAGAAAAAAACTCGTCATTAAAGAAGGTTTTTCGGATTAAACCACAAATGAAGACGTCCACGACTCCTCCTCCCTTGAAATTTCGCCTGGATATTCAACGCTTGTCCTTTCTCAGATTGTGCCAGTAGGACCGGTTTCTATTCGGGGCATCATATTTAAACTGTTTTCATCGAAAAAAGATTAACCTAGAGAACGAAACATAAAGAAAAATAAGAGTAAACGACAACCTACATACGAAAAGGCATCTTACTCCAGTCGGTTCGGATGCAATCCCTGGCGAAAGCGACCTGGTTATCGCGATGCTTTTCAGTTATGAAGAATGCCCTTTTCATTTTCCGACGATGACAGACTCAGACTTCCTCCCATCACGTTCCAAACAGTAATTATTGAGACATTGAGCTTTGAAGAGGACTTGATTCCCGTACATGACTCCGTTGTATTCGACCCTCCTCTCAAAATTGTTCGCTCATATCCTTCCAAAGCCATACTCTTCAGGATTCGTGATGAAATTGTGGACAAAAGAGTGGCATCGGTCCAAATTGAGCAATTTAGCGTTTTGATAGCCCCTGTCCCTCTTCTGCAAGAATCCGGCTTTTCTCAAAAAATTTTCGGAAGGCTACTTTCCTCTACCCATTACCTGAAGTTGGAAATTTTGACATAAATCAAGCAACTGTGGGAGGTAAAATGGAAAACGACGGAATAATATAAGGTGGCTGTATCGTTCTGCAAAAAAGGCGAAGTGACTCTCTCTACAAAAATGCAGTGAATATTGTCCATGTCATTGAGATGGGATACGTTGTTGGTGGAGAAGTTACAGTTTGAGTAGGGTGATATTTCCATATTAAGCCTTTTCCTAAAGTGCCCTAGAATGTGAGCTTTGGTGAAATTTATGGGTGGCTGTATGATTATGCAAAGTATAAGGACATAAGGTGGGATTTTGTAAGTTGGGACAGCATAAGGGCATGAGTTTGGATTTTGTTTTCCGAAAGACTTAGATGCAATTGCTTTTTCCATATTCTGTCCTATTATATTGGGCTGATCTTGAAACCCGATGTTCTTCAAGATAATTGTGTTTATCGTACAGGAGGGTGGATTTCTGAGATCTTGCTTAATGTCCGGACTGTTACTGTGCGGCTGGAACTACTTGCAATTTTTCCTCGATTCATACTCCACCATAGATCGAAAATGGCATCTAGCCATGAATTCATATCCTTTTATAAGTTCTATTTTTGAAGTGAAGTACTAGTGAAATTTTCGTTAGCTACCTAAAATAGAATTGAAAAGGCTATCAAACGAAAACGGCTCAAGAAATATTATTACATTCATAGAGAAACTACCACTGAGCTGTTTCAGTGAAACCGAATTCAAGCAGGATATCGATTTTCGGAACAGTGGGAATACAATATATTACAAGAACAATAAGACATGGGTGAGCGAATTGTCCGTGGGTTGCTCTTTTGGATCATTTCAATAATTATTCGAGTGACAACTTCGTCCTTCCCGGTTACACTCCTAGAAATTCTATATTTACAGGTATACTCGCAAGCGGATTCTTGTGATGGCTGTCAGCTCGAAGATATGCTTATGCTTCCAAATGCTGCTTACATGGTATGACTCTCGATGTTAGACTACGTGATTTTTCTAGAATCTACGTTCGCTAAAAAGAAGCTTTTGACAGTGACAGTGACAGTGCGTAAACCTTGTAAATGTCAAAGACCATTGAGCCTATGCTTACTAAATACTAGGAAAATTTCTCAAAAATAACCTTTAGAATGTGCGTTTAGCCATAGTAGAGGTGCGTCTGCCCTTGTATTCGTAATGCTTGGAGATAATAATAATATAACACAGTAGCTGAATAGTACTGCTATGAGGTCATTCCGGCTGCAGGATTGGTAGTCTCTGCTAATGGAGGCAGTTGGCTCAGAGGTGACGACTGGAAGGAAGGTAACTGTTGAAAGGTTCATCGCGGACCCTTTTAATGTCGTCAAACTCGAATACAGAGAGTAAGATGAGTTAGTTATACTGCTCCCGACATTCCCACTTCTTTCCCGCTAGCCAACCAGCTAGGCAACAGAGTCCGAAATCTAGCAGAGAGAGAGGAGAGGATGGTGTAAGGTGGTGCGCAATTTCCCCTAAATCTGAACTTCCAACTCACCTTAAATTATGGTATGCCCTATCTTTACAATTATTATGTTTTCGGACATAAACCCTACGAAGTGTTTGGTCAGCTAAATGTGTTACGCGTTTCCTTGCCCGAGCAACGGATTTCGTGAACTGGCTCGCAGTTATTTTGGCCCCACAAACTAGACATCCAGTTGTTTTCACATTTTTCAATTCCAGAATGAGTCGTGGTAAGCCTAATTATTTAGTCAGCGGTATATATGCAGCAACAGCAAAAGCTCTCTAAGGTGGTGACCAGAGTACTGGATTTATTGCTTCTACTTCTTGGAGAGTCTCCACTGAGGTAGGTGCCTTGTTAATCGCTTAGACATAATCAAAAAGTGTAATCAGCCTCAAGAGAAAGGTTGTTATAATGAGTTTCTGCAGTAGCTATGATTTCGCCTCCATTATAAATTAGCAGCTACTATGAACGCAGTGTTCCCTCATTCCTGTCACTTCGAAGGTTATGAAGAAAGAATAAAAATACTTATTGATCGCATCTGTTCAAACAGGCAACAGTCTACTTTTTCTAGCATTTCCTGCGATGCCATTCCCTCAATATCACTTGGGTACTGGAGGGACTTGCTGATTTAGCGTATACCGACTGTTCCCTCCTGAAGGATAGTCGAATTAAGGGGCTACTGCATCGAGTGGAGGCTTACCTGAATAACTTGCTAGCCAACAACATTTCACTTCTTAGAAGTGAGCTGAGTCGAAAATGCAAGACGAGAGATGATATCTTTTTCTGTAGAAAAGAATTCCAGACCATTACGAATGTTAATTGAAATACGTATCTAGTAAGAGTATCTATAAGTCTGCTCCCTTCGATTCTAGGGCAGTAACTCAAGGCGGAGTGTCGTTCGAGTCATACCCCGATCCACTTACCAACCTCATAAACAGTAATTTAACTAAGGTAAGCATAGAACACAATTTGATACCATTTCAACGCTCTGTTAATATCCTGTCATGCGGGAACTCCTCGCCATGGGTGTGCAACTTCTGCATTAGGTCCATTCGCACCGAGACTTACTCGCTTGTAGTGTCACCCCGCGTAAATGACTTCTCTGCTGGACTAAGCTGAACCACCAATTATTCATGAATTGAAATTTCCAATCTTCACTATATATAGCGCGATTGCCTCTGTCTGTGTGCCTGTCTATTTGTTTGCTTCTTTGTACGAAATTTGATATTACCTGAAGATGCACCTCTAAAAGTCGGGTCAAGCTCGGAATGGACTGGGGATAGGGCAACACTAAAAGAGCACATTCAATATTTATTGCATGCGCCTAAGCACATGGAGTTGATAAGCAACGAATAATGAAGGGCATCAGAAACTAAAAAACAACGTCACAAGAACATTTTACAAAGTGAACAACAGAAATGAATAAATAAGCAATAAAAAGAGCAGTGACATCACCACCTCCGAAGAAGATGGTCCTTGACGAAAAATAAGGTATATGTACCTATATATTTAAGGCCTTAAGCGTAGTACTTGCTGACATATCCCTCTCAGTGGTGTTTGACGAAGAATACTTCGCCAGCTCTGAGAAAGCCCGCAATGTGAAGAGCTTCATTCCAATAGAGAACCTGGCTTTGGAGAGCGAAGGTTCAAGCCGCCTTCATCCATTTGTTGACGGGAGTAGGGTGAAGAACGTTAGCGTACCGACCAACAACTTGCTTGTGACAATTTTAAATGTTGTTACAAAATAAAATTTTATTTCTTCCACATCGCAGAGACTCCAATACAAGTATTTTGCTCCTTACAACCCCTCTAGGTATAGCGTTTTAGTCAAAAGTTAGGGCTTGACTCAACTTCATTGCTATATACCTACAATGGGAGTTGAAAACCTTGATCTTGACGTCGCCAATGTGATAAATGTCGGAGGCCCGACCTTCTTCTACATGGAAAACAACATTATTCTTAGGTGCTTAAGGCAGCTTCTATACCTTCGCCAAGCCTAGGGCCGCATCAATGCCCTTTTGAATCAACGCTGAATTCGTCTGTTTCCAAAGATCTGTAACTGTTAATATCATCGGCAAACATTTCACATTTAATTCCTATATCCTTCACCAACTGCGGAAGGTCATAGGTGTAAATGGAGATTAACAAGATAAGATAAGACGCTGCTTTGCGGAACTCCCTTCGGAGTTAATCTGATAGTGTGAAAACTGTTCCTGAACGGAACGTGAACCGAAAGGTATCGTAAAAGGATTCCACCCATGAGGCAATTCTTGTTGTAAGTCAATTTGATTCAACTTAACCAAGCGTATAATATGATAGCGTATGTATGATGTTCTCTATGGAAGGCCTAGGTATGATTGGGATGAATCACATCAACCTCCTTTCTCTCATCCAACAAGCGACAAAAGAAATTTTAATCTTGAGGTTCTTCACCTCAAACAAACACAGGTTGAAGGTGTACTTCTATAGACCAGCAATGGTGCGGAGTGCCTCTTTGATAGAATTGAAGGCTATCCCATCTAGAGTGGAGGATGGGCTGGTACACCAATCACATGAAATGTCGAAGTTTCTTCTATTCGTGGAAAATAGCTAATTGAAATTGGCGCTAGCATTCGCCTGAGCATTATTATAGGTGAAGGTGCTTTCGAAAAAAATCAGCGGTGCACTCTGCCTTCTCGGCATCAGAGACCACACGCAACTCGTCGAACATGACGGAATAATATGATGTGGCTGTATCACTTGTGAACACAGGCAAAAACCTTTTTTCGAGGGAATGGGAGGAAATTGTCCACTTTATTGAGATGATGTTTTTGGTCTACAAGTTGCGTCCCAAATAGGGCACAATTCCGATATTTAGCCATTCCCTGGGATGCCCAGGAGCGCGAGTATTGGTGAAACTTGAAATTCATGGGTAGCTGTATCATTAGTGAACGCAGTGTATATATGACGACCTAAGTGCTTGTGTTAGTTTGTCAGTGTGCGTATGTTTGTTATATATGTCTTCTTTCCTGTGACGACACTCTATGTCGTTATCACGGCGATGACAGGGTACAGTGTTCTGTGTACATAGAAGGAAGAGGAAAAGATGGGCTTCACCTTTGACTTCCCACCTCCACTCACTCGTCTGTGTAGCAAGCTCTCAATTGCTTGTCTGTTGACCTCCTGATGAATCCAGCTGAGCCAATCTCGGTTTTTGAGCACAGACTTTACTGCTATTAGTTATAAATTTGTGCATTTTGAAATAGCACGACAAATTGTCGAAGCTATGTCATCTTAACACAAGTTGTGCTTTTCACGTCGTATTTAAGTTGATCCACTTGTTGTTTTACCTTTCACCAGAACTCTTCTTGAATTTTCCTTGAGTTTCGAGATACATCAAATCTTTGTAGTTCGTTCATGGTACAGATGAGCTTAATCCAGCAGAGGGGTCACCAGTCAGCTAGTTAGGCTAAGTGGCACTACAGGCGAGTGACTGGACATGACACAAGTGACCTAACTCAAAAATCACACACCATTTTCTATAACTGGTTTATTACCACCAGAACTGTTGTTATTTGAACCTTAGTGGAATACCGTGCCTCAACATTAGCCCTCCTATTTGGTCTTTAATTAAAATTGTTCTTAGTTGCTGCTTGCACACCGTTAAACTTGTTCCTTTTACCTCTGCAAAAGTTTTGATGATAGCCTTGCTATTCACTTTTATCAGGCCTTTTATTTCAGCTTCTGTTGTCATTTCTCGGAACCTCCAATGCTCTTCCCAATGTGCCAGCGATGGGATACTTTCCACTGGTGATGCTACTTTTAATTCTAGGAGTATTGTATGAAAAATATATGAGAAAAGCCTAAAAGTCTTTTAAGCGAAAACTGTGAACTTATACAGCTAACGTATTCGAAAGTAGAGAAGGCAGCGAAGCAGTGAGGGCTGATGATATTAGGGTGTTCGGGAAGTTTTGAGAAAATTTTGCCTCTCAACTTGAGAGCACGTCGCTCGCGAACGCGTTAAAGAAAGACTGTAGGTTCGATAGTAGCGGAAGGGCGTTTTTAATATATCAGTACTATAACTAATCCGTACTGTGACCGTTCCGTACCATTACGAAACTGGACACTTTAAAACATGCAATGAGATATGGTGAGTGATTGGAACGAGTGACCCTCTCTTTTCACCTACCGTAGAAGGCACGATCTCTTCCTCTGAGAAGAGATTTGCTTTGACGAAGTTTGTCGAAGCGAACGTCCACTGTCCTCAATACGACACTCTCCTAGCCTCCCATCAGAGCAATCCTGTTCGAAGCCTTAGGAAATGAAAGAGGCGATCTTTCCTCCCTAATCCATCATTCACGACATTCTACGTGAAAGTCGCTTCAGAGCAGGAATCTTTGCAAATATCGCCCAATTCTTGCTGAGCAGGAGCTCGAAGCGTCAGTGTGTTTCAGAACTCCTCGACTGTATGTAAACGACGACATCAACCGACTTCATTATTGCTCAGGATGAGAAGTAGATGTCATATGAAAATCCACATAGGAGATCGCAATGAATACGAACGGGGGTAAGGCCACAGCCTGCTACAAAGCGAGGCGCTCACGAAAAAGAAAGAAGAGCTCATCTTCCTCTGCTGAACAGGGCCTTTAACTGGGAGATCCTAAGTTAGTGTACTGCGGTAAACGCCGGATTATTCTGTTACCGGCAGAGAGAGATTGTACGTCGAGCTTCCATTTCACACCCATTACAGGGGAATTTTCGATTGTGATGGATAACACTCGACCAACACGGTCGACAGATGAGCTGGGAAGACTCGATATAACGAGACTACCTCACTCCCCACATATTCACCCTACCACAACCCATATTACCGCCATGCTTTCAGAAGCCCACAGAACTGCTCTGAAGGGAAAAAATTCACCAACTGTCGTGAAGTCAAGTAGACGGTAGATAAATATATTGTGTCACGCCTCTCTTCATATTCAAGGGATGGCATCAGTGCCCGTCCCCTGAAAAGAGCCACGAGCCTGATCACTGATCTAAGTTTGTTACTGTAGTATTTTGTGTTGAAAAAAGCGGCTGAATTTTTTCAAAAATTTCCGGACACCCTAATACAAAAACAGCATTTGGAGACGCAGTAACGGCAAGTGTGGTTTCTGACGACGTCTTTTCCCCTGTAATGAATCTGCTACCCTGTGTATGCCGCATGTTCAGCTGACAAAATGAAAACCTTCCTAGATGGGGCGTGATATGGGCTAGATCATTGCATCTACTGTGTTTTCCCCCAGAGAAGGCCCAGTTTCACGGACCATCGAGTCCCGTGCGATGTAGAAGTTTTGCATATAATTCGCAAACCAAGTGAGACTTTTGCATCGCGGCCGAATAACAGCATTTAACAAAACGTCAAGTCTAGACAAGCTATTGTTACACTATTAGGAACTTCTCTAGACAGCTAAACTTTACGATGTGTTCAGCTAGTAGGCACAGTTCACAATGAAAATGGTTTTCAAGGTTAATCCCTGGAACGAATCTGTGACCCCAAGGATAGCTCAAAGGATGCCGTGTATCGAAAAATGATCACTTATAAACAAATTCAAACAAATGTTTAATTTTAATCACTCAGCTGCGCTTTAAAGAAATTACAAATGCATCAATTCATTGAGTGTGCAATTATTTTTCAATTCGGAAATGCACGTGCCAGTTTTTCTTCAAAACTTCATTTCAGTATAATCACACGTGCGATGAAGATTATGTGATAAGATCTGGGAAGGATAATACAGACAAGTCAGTTTGATTCGGCTTATTCAATGTGCTGACTCTACTCCAAGTTCTTGACTGCCTTACAGTTTGGCGCTGATCCAGCGATGGGCCAATATGACGAATCTACCATGGTGGGGCGATGAGTACTCGAGTGATATAACGCAAAGTGGAGGTGTGGCACAAGGTTTTCTTACAAACATTCTCATCACTTGTGATTTTTTTCAGATGGAACTTTCCAAAAGCCCTCCTTGAAGAAAACGGACAGACTGAAACAGTTCCAGTCGTTCATGTGTAGGTAAGCGACACCACTCATTATGTGTGTTAACATGTTTTATGGGAATTTCGCAAATGTTTGAGAATCGTTTCCAAGGTCGCTAAAGAGTTCTGAATAAAATAAAGGTGTTCCCGTGGTCTAAAATGGTATGTGACGCGGAAGACAACTAACTGTGGCAACCGAATGCGCTTTACTCCTATCGTTAGTGAAACTGGTTCGCGCTGCACGCGTCGTACCTTACCGCGATTTCGAGATGGACACGTTCAAACCGTTCCAAAGTTTTGCGATTCGAACTTTTTAGCCGCGCGCACTTGAATACAACATCAGTGACGCAGCGGTGCTGCACTATTTGATGGGGAACCTTCCTTAACTCGTTGTATGATTGCCTCAGCTTCTAACTCCCCCACATTCTATACAGCACCACTCGGCACGCCTTATTTTACTTCCCTTTGCTTCTTCTAACAGCAAATCTCATCCTTTTCTCAATGGCGCATTCTAAGTTGAAGTTAAATTTCATTACGGAATCAATTCATATTTGAATGCCGTACCTTGGCTTGCTGAATTCTTCATTTGTTATATTCCACCAGTTCTGCCCGATCACGCCAACAAGTGTAAGGATGCCAACGTCTCTTCTAATTCACGTAGTCGTCGGAATCCGTGCTGTTGTCTTGCGGGCCCATAGATACACTCAAGCTTTTTGAAAACTGTCTAGCCGCACTGATTCGGTGCCTAATCCCAGCTGGTCGGCTGAGCGGAAAGGACAGGTGACAACTAAGGTAAAAGCTCATGCTCAAAGAAGTTGGATGTTTTTCTTCAGATTGTTAATCTTGCTTGTGCCTCGAGGTTGTTGTGTGGGAATTTTTATTCTAGCCAACGGACTCACCGTTTTCAAAGGCCTGAAAATGGTTCAAAGCTTGTTGATTGCAAACTACCCCACCAAGTGCCTCCTCCGCTCTAGCGTTCCTGACGTTCTACCAGGAATGCACGAAAAATGCCCGAAATTCAAAAGATAAGCTCGCCTCACTTCCACCGCGAAGTGTAGCACTACGCTACACGGTTAGTACATTAGCAGCGAATGATGTTACTTCGCTGTCCTTGTGCAATAATATCATTATTATTGCGGATCAGCACGTTCGCTGATTATGGAACTAACTCGCAGTGTTGCATAAATGGCAAGAGATCATTTGTGATTATGACACACTCATTTCGGCTGTTCATTTCTGGATTTCTAGCTAAAATACAGAACGCTTCCAACGCTTTCCCCGATGATATTTCCGTCTCGTGAGCCAATATCGTACACCCGATGTTGAAATCATTGCCATCATGCTGTTCTACTTTGTGCTTCCCTAACGGAGTAAACTCATCACTGCGCCGTTTGCCAGCAAGATGCTCTTCAATTCGTACTGATAAAACACCTCCAGTTTCTCCTATGTAGCTTGAATTACATGCCTTACATTTAATCTGATAAATTACGCCTGCAGAAGCCCAATCTCCATTCTTCCAGTGTTACAATGTGGTACCGTATAGCAATTCGACCGAACTATACCTGAAGCTAATCGTCTTGATTCTTCGCGTTTGGTCATACCCCTGCACATGCGCGTACCTGTCCTGTACATACTCTTGATAACAACGCGTTTAACAGCGGACGGATGCGCAGATGTGTGAATCAGAATGTTCTCCGAGCTTCTTTTTCGGTACCACTTATTGTGTGCGAGCCCGCTAGACATTTTGATTTGAGTGTTGAGATAGGGGAGCCAACCATCTTGTGGTATTTCTCGTGTGAGCTTGATATACGGTGACTGCTCATTCATTATACGAAAACACTCATCCATTTCGGATTGTGTTGAAGTCACAATGCAGCAGTCATCTATACATCTGATTACATCAACGGTAAGCGTGCCAATACTGCTTTTTCAATTCTGCTCATGAAGCAGATCGCCAGTATCTGAGGCATCAGTTGACCCATGGCCAAACCTCTAATTCGAGAATAATGAGAACCTGACCGGTATGTTACAACCAAGGCATTCCTTGATGAGAGTCATGATACGCGCTGTGTTGTTCTGTTCTTCCACCAATGCAGATTGGGTTGCTGTTCTTGGGATGTTTCACTGTTCGTCAATAGTTCACACTTTTCAGGGTTCAGAATGAGTCCGATTTTAGTGAATGCATTCTGCAAGAGTTGAAGCACGTTTTCAAGCATCGTACTCGACGAAGCCAGTAGCGTGACATCACCTGCATGCTCAAAACACAAAGTATAATACTTTGCCTTCAATCCCTTGTTCACACAATACCCTATCTATAGATTCGAGCACCGTTCTCAAAGTAGCAGTGAAGAGTTCTGGAATTGACATGCCTCATTGTTTTGTCTGACTTCTCTTTTGATGGTGAATGGAATTGGATGAGAGTTACGATGAAGAACGTGGAATAATATTCATAGATCCTCTGTAACATCACCATCAGCTCTGGATGTAGATATCTCTTTGAAGGGCTGAACATACCGCGGACCACTCGAGGCTATCGAAAACTTTTCTGTAACCAATGATAGCAACATAAACTGGAAATAATATTCAGTGCTCTTTTTCGCAACTTGATTGAGGACATAAATGTGGTTGAACGTGGAGTGTTTTCTTCTGAATCCAAAATGAGATGGGCTATCCGTCTCCTATGACTTTTGCGTTACTTTTAGAACTCCTACTATCAGAGATATTGGTAGGAAGTCTTGTATCACTGGAATCCCTTATCTCGATTAACAGTTCCACATGAGTGGCCGTCGAATCTTTCGGAATTGGTTCACCTCGTTCAGTGCGACAGTGCAGTAAGCTTAGAAGCTATTTTTGACTTCGCAAGTGTGAGCTGAAATGAAATCTGAACTAGAAGATCTTCCGAGGCGGAGTTGAGAGAGGGCAATTCACCAGTGTAGAAAGAAAGACATGGCTTGAAGGAGGAAGGGCTGAAATGAAGAAAATTCGTAGATGACTTGTAAAGTTAATTGCAGTAAGAGGCTACTGCAATTCCGGCTGCTCTTTGCGATTACGCTCTAGTGTTGTGGTCCTTCAACATTAATTTTCTTCTCCTAGCAAATTCTTTTCGTTGCGCTCAGGCTTCCGCCTTTCTCGATCGTGTTTTTCATTATTGTGATCTTTCTCCTACGGATATCCACAAGTAAAACAATCCTGGCCGCTTTGCATGTTATAGATTAAGCTACGCGGCCCGTCAAGGAAGGACTATTTAATAATGTTATCCGTTGCGGAAGGACTTCAGCTTCACGACCTACTCTCGGAGGGTCATTATCTTTGATCCGTCTGCAGTCATATCTATGAATAATCGATTGCTGTTGTACGCTTTCTGCGTATCTCGAGGATGGGGGTGGTAGGGGAAGAGGTTGGATCGGATCTTATACAGCTCGCGGTCGAGGCGGACGCGGAATGAAGGAGGTCGATGTGGATGAATCGCATCGTTGCTACTGTTTTCACGGATAATCATTTGCATGCGATCCATTCGATGATCAGGATCGAGTAGGGAAGTGTTCACGATTCCACAGTCGAAAATGTTTGTAACCATGCACGACCTTTTATTTCTCGTAGACAAGTATTCCACGCTCTCAATTCTAGTCTGCTAAGCATTCCGGTCAATAAATGTCCACGATTATTCGGTGTATACCGAAAGTATACATGCCGATAATATTCTCGTTTAATAATTTACGTCCCGGTTTGGCATTCATGACTCCCAGAAGAATAGGTGTGTATCCTTCAAGCTTTTTTCCTTTCCTTCCAGAAATTCGTCACATGCTCCATCATCATCTGCTGAAGAGGACGGCATGTAGCAGAGTGTAAGAAAATTTTGGGTGAAAACTGGTAAAGAGTTGTAACCTGCCGTTCATCAGTACGAAGCATACCATGTCAGCCGAGGACCGTTCGACGACAAAGCTCACCCCACGATGCGCAGTGCATAACCGAAATGAACTAATGGTACCTGATGGCAGGATGTAGCTGCCGTTGTTTTTTATTCTTGACCTGTCACCCAAGTATATCACATCTAATCTTCTCCATAGCTCTTCCGAGCTCAAGTTGGCGTGCAGTAGTTTGAAGGGATCGTGCATTGATTGTTCCAGTTGTAAGGCACTGAATACTAGCAGCCATAATTTTTAAGAGGATGCGCGATAGTCTGCCTTGGAGCCCAAACACCTGAGGTAGACGACAGTGGGCTCAAATAGGGAAGGCAGTCGTCACCACGTGAACCTCAAGAAAGTGTAGGCATTTTAAGTTAATTTCAAATACCCGCACGTGGTGAAATGTGTCAAACAGTGAAGCTCCTGCACGGTTCAAACGTGACCATCTCTAAATCGCAGAAGGCTGCGTCGCGCGCAGCGTGGGCGACGTGAACTAGTTTAATCAACGATAGGGTCGGACGTTCCCCATTCTAACCAGAAAATCACAAAATATGGTGCTTGCCGAGACAGCCGGCTAAGAAGTGACACATGTACTGAGCAGATGAAGCAACTGCTAGAGGACTCTACATATTTGTAAAAAACACTGTGAAGCTCTGTAAAGAGTAGAGAATGGGCCCAATAGGGATTGACCCCTTATTTGATAAACCGTACTTTATTTCAATGCTTTTATGAGCGTTTTCAGCAATATGAATTGAATTTTCAGCCGCACATTTGAAACAATACTTTGAAGTTTTCGGACCAGCCAAGCGCTTTGGGACGAAGCCGGAGGGTCAGCAGACATAACTGGATTGAAGCTCAACCTCTCTCACAAATAAGTGATGACGCTGTTTGTTCCTCCTTTTCCTCTGGTGACTTTAAAAAACACTGATTCAGAATGGCTTTATCGCCAAATGAAGGTAGTCAATCAGTAGGCTTTGTATGTTATCCTGTGCAAATGATGCAAACGTATACTGCTATGCCGTCTAGACTTGAGACGATGAGTAGCATTGCTTCGAAGTAGGCACAGCTTAATGGTAAAATTGAACTACAATGAAGAGATTAGAGTAGAACTACTTAGATCTTCATATGAAGACCTACAAAATGGAGATTTCCAGAGCTCGTTAAGCCCAAGACGTTCAGGAATTATTCTCAAATATCTGGGATATTTTTCCATCATCAGGTCTAATAAAGGATATGTACATAGTGTGAAGCTCATCCCTAGGCTCACTATAAAACCTGCTTCCGCAAACTATACTCAGAACTGCGGATCCTACAGATATACAGAATGTTAGCAACGTTCGAAATGATAAAACGAACATTGCTATACCGTCACGTTGTATAGGAGCCAATATTTACTGCACAGTAGGTTCCTCTCTTCCTCTTGGAGTGACTGGTGCAATTAACGGTACCTTGGTTTGAACTTCTGTGACACAAGCTTCACAATCAAAATTGTGCTCAAGTATTTCAGATATCAGTTCACTCGTCCAGTTGATCATCGAGGTAACTTAGTGTGCGTCAATAACGTCTCCATTTGTCCCTGTCGCGAGCCAGTGTAGGCCCGTGATTCTCTTCGCTCGGGAAACACGAAGCCTATCATTCCTTTTGTGTGCTGCTGAGAGTCTGACCTGCAAGTTTTACTTACTCCCGAGCTTTATGTGCTGCTCCTTCAGCAGAACTGCTGTTTTGTGCCACTCAGCTACTGCATTATGCGGCAGATCATATGGAAGACTTCCTGTGCGATGAGAATGACCCCTATTATGGGATGTTCACTCTGCACCTACTGTTACCTAGTGCAATGCTTCAATTCTAAACTGAACAACAAATGCGACATTTTTCTACCTTCGGACATGAACTAGATTATTTAAATCTTCGTTATGAATTTTTGGTATGGCGGATTTAGCTTGGATGAGTCACTAGACAAGCAAGGAATGGTCTGTCATCAGAGCGATTAATTTTTTCAGGTCATTCTATCTGCATTACGATTCTGACGTCACCGTAGATGGAATAGGTGCGATGAGATTCAAAATGGACATCGATACTTATAATACCACAATGGAATTGAATAAGGGCTATAGATACGAGAACACCGAGATGGTGGTGAGCCGTTTTTTTCGTTTTCGCAGTAGTAGTTCAAAACGTAGTTGATTAGAACTCACACAGAGAGAGTCACAGCCTTAATTGAATAAAGCGAGCGAATGTCAAAGCGTTGAAATTTGATGGCAGTACACACGGCAGGATGGGAACACTGAAGTTTATGGTAGGAAAAATCGCGCCCGCAGGGGGCAGGGCGTGATCGAGAACTGTTTATTTGATTTTGAGGCGTTCAAATTTGGTAGTGGTACAGGCGGCAGGACGGGAACATTGGTTATAGTGGTAGGGCAGGACTCCGCTCACAGGAGGCGTGAGCGAAAATTATTCATTTGAACCTGGGGAGTTCAAATTTGGTAGGAGTGCAGGCGGCAGATAGAATGCAGATGAGTGGTGATCCCACCACGACCTGGATCCACCCTTAAGGAAACGGGGCGTGCGAAAAGGTTGCTAATTTGGACCTGGAACGTTCAAATTTGGAACGAATGCAGGCGACATATTCAAGGCACCGATGTCAGGAAGAACGTAAAAAGTGACTTGACCAGACCCATACCGCGAACGCGTAGGGGATGTATAGGACGGATAATGCGTGCAATGAGCGTAATTTAAGCAAGTGCAGTTAAGTTGGAATAAGAGGGATGAACCATGCTACGAACACACGGAACTTGAGCAGAACTTCACTCATAATGGGTAAGACGCGCACGAATTGTGTCAGTGTGTGTGTTTCGCTGGAAATCACTAATTCTACTCACTTGATGTATAGACAACGACCAATGTCTGCCTATCTCCATTGTACTGATTTTGCGAAAGTCAACCAACCAGTCAACCGCTCATTTCTTGCCAATCAGCCAATAGCTCAAGCCGGTTCCACGCGTGAAGTTAACATACTGAATGCCGAAGTTCCGGCTTTTCCCAATGACTCCTTACCGAATGAGAGCACCATGGCCAACCGAAGCGGTTACAGCCTATAAGAGCATCTTCGTGGCTCTCTTTGGCACCGCATCTTTTGGATATGGGTATATGCCAGTGATTTTGTCCTCTTATCGTTTTCCAATCTAACATTGCACAGTGGCGTCGGGTGGTTTATTTGCTAGTTGTGGTGCACTCAGTAGAGTGTATAAATAAATAAATAAATAAACAAGCAAATAAATAAATAAATAAATAATACTCTTAATTTCTCGGACCAAAACTTTTATACTCTGAAGAATGCATGCATTGGATCAACTTCAACAAAGAAAAGAGCCCGGTCTCGTTCGGGCCATCCGACTGGTACTATATACCCATGGACATGGTTTTCAAATTATGGACAGTTTCCAAATTGAAACCCCCAATATCTTTCGGAAGATGACGGCTCATTCAGTGTCACTCGCAAACATCCGCATACACGACGCGGAGAGGGCATAGTAAAACTTTTCCTGGTCCCAATAGTGGTCCTACAGAAGCTGTTAGACGACACATAGAAGCAGAATAAATCAAAGACAAACTGGGAAGCGTTAGAAAGGCAGCTAGAAGCTTTATTGCCATACCTACCGTATGCAGAGCTGTCAGTTCAACACCGGCCTCAACAGACAGTGTACGGTTATAAAACGCAGAAGGTCGAATAGGACGGTAGGAACCAATACCGTCTGGGAATCCAAGGACTTGTGTGGATACATGCATATTTCATCATTTTCTCTGGCAAAAAATTTTTCACGACGAAGGTAATCTTTTTCAAATAAAGCGAAAGTGCTCTGAATAGAAACGTGGAAAGTGCAATCCCTGTCGGAAAAGTTGTCATGAGATCAGAAAATGATGTTTATTCAGTGAGTTCCGGCTAGTGGTACGACGCCGTTGATTTAGTCGGTACCGGCGTGAAATTTGACAAAAATGTGCACCGAAGAAGCATACTGATGGGCGCACTTGAGCATGATCCGTATACGCTCCCTGGAATACCTCACCCTTCAAAAAAGACGTACTCTAGCTCAGAGAGCCAAGCTCGATCAAGAGCGGTGTAGATGCGAGCTGCATTGAAGAAGATGTAGAGTTTGCGTCATACCGCAAATCAATGCGAAAATCCCACGTCGGAAGAGACACTTTCAAAGGGCTGTATTAAAATCTTCCGTGAATTTGTGATCCGCTTGAACCTTACCGATATCAACATTCATTTGAGTTGTAATTCTGTAAATACAACACAAGAATCACAATGGAAGATAATGATACGAACATCACATGAGAGTTACACATCTTTTTTACCGAGTTGTAAGATGTAAGGGGTGAAACAGTCTTGACTCACCCTTTTCAGTGCTTTTAACGCCCTTGTTCGGTTGCTAATCGTGAAAGGTGATGCTTAAGAATGAGTTTCCGTATTAACATGAGATTTCATTACTAATAGAAACTTTACTCCTCTACAACTACTTATATTAATGATAGGTTCTACTACTCTAAACCTTTTTCTTTCATAAGTTACTCAATATTAAGTTATCATTATACTCTCCACATACTTTCTGCATTGTGTAGGTTTTGCCTTGAGCATCCCTTCTTGATCAAGTTCCGACAACAGGATACAAATATGTAGTGAATACAGAGCTGAATGAATCAAAGGGATGATACATTGAGCGGATTGGATCTAAGCAACGATGAACTAGCAATCGAAGACTATGTACCTCCAAATACGGCTCGAAAAAGGGACAAACGGTCAACTAAGAATTCCTTCCTCAAATTCTTTGGTGAAAATGTGTTATCAACCGGTTGGCAGAAGTTTCATGTTTTCCGCTTTGGGCGATCACCACACGTCCACTCATTCCTGGCTTGTCATGAGTTTCAAAGAAGGAAGTCATCACAGCAATTTTCAAGTAGTCGTTTTGCAAGTATGTATCTGGTGAGCTGGTGAGTTTTACCGAATTATACCTACTTATTTCCGGATTATTTTCCATCATGGCCGTGCGGACTAAATCACACTTACACGCCGAATGCAACCGGATGTTCCAAAATTGACTGCGCACTCTACCAGAACTGGTGCAGTAGATGTTGTGATGGTTAGTGATTCTCGAATAGTTCGTCTTTCCTGTGTGCTAAGCTGCCAATACTTGGTGTATCAAGTGCTCCACATAATGGTGCGGTTTTCGGACCACTTCTCTGCTAAGACTCCAATATATAGAAACTTCCATAACTGCATCTGTTTGGACCGTCAACAGACAAAGATTATTTCTCAATATGAGGTTGAAAGCAAAACTTCAATTTGACTGCAGGAACTAATCAATAAGTATAAGGTCTGTGATCCACTGAAAGCATATCAGGCACAAAACTGTCAAGTAGAAGAAATTCTTGACCTCCAGGAAGCTTTCAGGCAAAAACAAAAAAAAATTAAGTAGAATATTCCTTGTGGTTGTTTTGGAAGCGCATCAAGCAAATGTAATCAACGCGATTAGAATATTTTGTGGTCACTAGCTGAGCGCGAGATCTGGCGTATGGAGTAGACTAGGGATGTGGTACTGTTCTGCTATTACACCCCCAAAAACTCAAAATTTTAATTTTCGAAGGAATCCACCTGTAGGGGTAGTCCGATGCCTTGATAACGAGTATGACCTTCATTTTTGGCGCCAAGGATGTTTTCACCAATTTTGCTGAAACTTGTGTACAGGGGTTATTTGAGGTCCTGGTAACGGATATGACATTCATTTTTGGCGCTGGCGCCATTTGGCGCTAAGGGAGTTTTACCAAATTTGCTAAAAACTCGCGATAAGGGGTTATTTGGGATCCTGATAACGAATATAACATCCATTTTACGCGTTGAGGCTATTTGGCGCGACGAGAAGGCATGCAGGTTGTGGGGGAGACAATGTGACCCGAGGCGCTTTCTCATGGTTGAAGACATCCATGTTGTGGGAAAGGGGATGACGTAAGCACTTTCCTATGGCTAAAGACAAACCCTGATGAGACGAACATCACTATTTCGTTTTACAACTTGTGAACGTGTGTTGCAATGGCTCTCAACGCACAGAGAACGCGCAATCGCCAAGTACTCCTCGATTTCTCGTGAAGGACGTGTACGAGAAGAGGCAAATGGATCATTTGGATCTACTGGAGTGGCTGCGATCCTTGAGGCTGCTGGCGTTGCCAATGTCAAGGATCTATGAGTTCCAGTTGGGCCATCGAACGTAACGAAGGTGTATGTTCCAGCTCGAAAAGGCTCCTTCTTCAAGAAGTCGAACCTCGCAGAGTCGGCCGTGTTGGAGCTCAGCTACATCAGGCTGAGCAACATGGGTACCTTGAAGGACGAGGCTTACGAACTTAACATCGGTCACTGTGGTGTTGTCCAGTAGGAGCAGTACGTTTACGACGTCTGCGCCGAGCACTACAGAAGGAATCCTTCAGTTATTGGTGGGTTCGGATGTACAGTGGAGACTGACGAAACGCTGGTCGCGATAAGGAAGTACAATCGTGGTCGATGAGTACGCAGACACCAGTGGCTTTTCGGCGGTATCGAGAAAGGGAGCGGACGAGCATTTCTGAGGCTGGTGCGAAGAGGGACGCTCCGACTCTGCTTTCGTCTTATCGGGATGTATATAAGACCTGGCACGACGATCATTAGTGACTGCTGGAGGGCATACAATTAGATCGCCGCACTGCCCAATGTTTACCGGCACCTCCAGGTTAAAACCACCAGTTGAATTTTGTAGACCCACAGACTGGTGCCCATTCTCAAAACGTAGAGTCGCTGTGGCAGAAACACAAAGCGATGTGCAAGCGGCGCTTTGGAATTAATAACTCACGCTACGAGGACTACTTGTGCGAGATCCTATGGAAGAAGGAGTTCGGAGTTCGACGGGAGGTCGTCTTCGATTTTTGGGACCAAGTTGCGGCACTACAGCCCTGTTGAACGGTCTGGCATCTCACGTACACTAACCCAACGGCCCTCTTTAGGGCCACATTTCCGATATTAAGCCTTCAAGGGGGGGGGGGGGGGGGGGGAGGATGGAAAGGCAGAACACTTCTTGAGACTCGCTCCTTTTCCAAAGCTCAGTCTCAGAAGCCACCACCCTTCTCTTCACCATGAGCCATATGGCGTGGCTCGCTAAAAGTTTTATTCGTTGCTTGAGGGCACAGAAATGAATGTTATATTCGTTATCAGGACCTCAAATAACCCCTGTACATAAGTTTTTAGCAAATTTGGTGAAAACACCCTTAGCGCCAGCCAGCGCCAAAAATGAAGGTCATATTCGTTATCAGGGCATCGGATTACCCCTATAGGCAAAGTTTCATCGGAAGTCAAAATTTTGAGTTCTTGGGGGTGTAATAGTAGAATAGTACCTAGGATCTTGACGTCTTCTTGTAGCAACAACCATTTTCTTCTGATTGATCATTCAAAGCGAATAGAATTCGGATTGAACTGGTTAATGAGGAGGGTGGTGTACCCACTATTCGGAAGAAACCCCGTGATTCCGCCTTTGAACTACTTAATCTCTATCTTTTCGTCGACCCCGCGAAAACATCATGCCACTCATTGACGACTGCGGTCTCTGTGACCAAATGAAAGAGCGGCGCGGATACCACTTACACAGTAGCCTTTCTGGTGAAGAGGGTCGTTTGATCAGATGTACAGTAGCGCTCAACACTCTTCGGCAAAAGCTTCTTCAGCCGCACTTTGCAGTACCAACTCCTTTCATACTGGAGTTAATCATGCGAAATTTCTATATGTTTAGCACGGGTGCATCGTGAATATTTACTACTACATATTAACCTGTAATCCGATCGTGTTCGAGATATGCTAAAGTGCTTGAATCAAAATCGACTGAAGATACGAATGATAGTCCTCCTGGAACTACTTCCTTTTTTGCGATGTCTTTAGTGTACGAGCGCTAATGCCGAACACAGTAGAGGAGAAAAACGCACATAAGGAGCGATAAATGCAAGACGTTACTAACTTTGCTTTCAGCGAACTCTACTAACGAACAAACACCTTGCTCCAGTTATGTGATATTGCTTTTCAGTCACACAGTACTGGATTGAGTGAAATATGTTTTAGATAAACATATCAAAATTTCGCCACCGTCCGCCACTACACCCCCTCCGTCCTGCGTTAGTATAGCAAAATACAAATAGTGCAGCATCTGTCTTCGATGTGATTTCACGTACAGTTTGCTTTATGCAAACTCGGAGCAATTGAACATTGGACAATTCGAAGCGTGCAAAGCCTGCTTATGATAGGTCATGCGGTCCGTTCACCAAATTACGTGAATTCTCCATATGCGCCTTGTTTTCCCATCCCAAGGGTGTACCAGTGTGGAACATCCAAATTGTTGTATTGATTTATACTAGAACATTTTTTAAGGTACCCATTACAACACAACCGTCTTCCTTCCTCCAGGCATAATTCCACTACGGTGCTTACCAGGCCAGTATTTCTGAATGTTCGAAGACTGATCAGACTTGTGGTTTATACTTCATTCTTGTAGGACAAAATGTTCCATTACCATTCGCTGGCTTCCTTTCACCACCACACTTCTTATGGTCTCCACAGGATGTTCGAGACAACGTCTACGGACTGATGCCTGATCCTTCCGTTCACGAACCTGCAGCTTTCGATATTCAACCGGTGAGCAAGCATTTTTACTTCATAAACCCGACTAGGCTATTACAGAAGCAATGTCGCCTTTTTCGAATTAGAGTTTTTTCTAAAGTTAATACTTCACATATCATCTGAAAAGCTTTCATCTGCGCAACAAAAGGTATGTTTTCTTCCAGAACAGCTGTGTTGCAGGATGAGTTTGACCCTTGTGAAGTAGAAGGCGTAAATAGTCATGACCTCTTCTGAACACATCCAAACACAAGCCGTCTTTAGACTGGTTTCTTCCGCAGGATCAAGTGGTTTCCGCTATGTTGTGTCGGTTTATCTAGACTGAACTTTTTCCTGGTTCATTGCTGAGGGGTAACGGAACTTCTCCCCGAATTTCCACGACCTGCGGCAGCGGCTCCGCGGTGAATCTCCGTTCCTCCTACCGGGAATTCGAATACTTCCCTTCACAACGCGTGGTCGAGTGCGGCAAGCACGACACGCCGTTCGCGGACAAGATACCGGACCCACTGCAGAGTCGCAGCAATATTTAATATTGGATAAATATCATCATTCATGGTGATGATATTCCGGTTGAAGACAAAGACTAGAAGATAAGCAACCAAAGAGCATAAGTGAAGGCGGCAGTTTTTTTTTTTTGACGACTTGACCCACTATCATAATGTCAGCGTAACTTGTTTGAAAAAAGTAATGGTGACTCGAAATTTTAATAAAAAACCAGTTCGAAAAAAACGGCGAAATACGTCGGGCAACCGAATGGTAGAAAGTCTGGAAGAGATCGCAGCTTTTAACAATACATTCCTAATTGTCTTTCGCAGAGGATGACGCAAATCGAGGTTGTTGCCGGTTCGAGACAGTTGCATTTTGTAGCACAGATGAGAGCTTTGTAAATGGTATGTAACATCATATGAAAACACGGAACCTGGAATGAAAAGCATCGCTCAAAGTGCTTACCCTTAACCCTCCAATGTTTAGATGACTGGTTCGACGGTAGGTGGTCGATTTCGGATGCAGCTTTCCATACCTATTTATAACCACAAACTATTCACGTAAGTTTCTTAGTTCATTCATTTACAGAAAAGAAGACCCACTTCACTTCGAGGCTTAGATATTTACGATTTGCAATGACCAGAAATCGAGCACCATCGTAGATGTACTGTTACATTTAACACATTATCTGGTGTAATGGGTAATGCTCGTTGGTGTCTTCACCACATACGAGATTGCAGATGAAGCTATCTTTCTGTTCTAGTAGTTAGCTACAGGCCATTGACGACAAAGCGTAGAGTATACGAGAGTGTAGATACTACACTTCTTCTTCTTCGATTCTTTGACCGATGAGGTTATTGGGTGGAAACTTTATTAATGGCCTGACGTTTCGACGCAAAAGTTTTTTTCAAAGGCCTAAAAGTGGCCCAAGGTTCGGAGATGTATTCTTAATCGCTAAACGCCTCCTCTCCCTAGCGTTTTTGAAGTCTCTGTTCGCCCCTGTCGCGAGCCAGAGTGCTGCAGTGGGCCGCCTTCGCTTGAAGGACACGAGACACGAGGTCCTAGTTCCTAGTTTGAATCTTAAATTTCTCATTCAGTATTATATCTATGCTCACTGCCCTGCTTTATCTTATTAATACTTATTGATCATGACTGCTTCTCGTTTTTGACGAATTTGATTCAAATTCTTGATTTTGAGATGAATTTATTTCAGCGAATGCAAGCAACTTGTCAACTCTTTCCTTCCATCGTTCTGGCTTGATCTTCGGGTCGCAACGCGTGACTACGCTCGCAATTACATTTATTTTAATACGACCGTAATACCAAGAATTATCTTGGGAGTAGGCCTAGGTTTAGTTATCATTCCTGCTTTAGCTGCACTACTATTGCTGTTCTTTGCACTTAGACGACGTCAACCATATTTATCTTCATGTCTTAGGAAAAGACATGAAACCGATTCATGGTCACCACCATTTGAATGAATGTTTGTTAATAATTCATATATTATGGAGGCATTTTGTTTCATATGTTCATTCATTCATATGTTTCATTTTGCAAAGCTATTAAATGATTACTGCATAACAACACATGCCATTGTGATGTCATCAATCATTTTGCGTGTTCATAGCCTTCCAGTGAATAACTACTCCCCGGTGGATGTAGAAGGCTCATTTCTGGAACGCCAACGTAAGTCCAACTTTAGTACAGCCTTGTATGACAATGAACCCTTCCACAATGGAGCAAAGAAAGCTGACTTCATCGTTATGATAACAAGAGTAGAAATTATGTCAACTTTTCCATACAGTTGTCGTGCTTACATAGAGCCGGTCCACGTTCACAGATCTTATTTATTTATTTATTTAGTGTGCGTCGACCGACGCGCTTCTATAAAAGATCAGTACTAGCCTGGGATTAAACAGGGTCTGATTGCGTAGTAACAACAAACTTATGCATATCAAATCTAGATCCAAACGAACATAACGGATAGTAACAAAAAATAAAAAAATAAAAAAAAACAATTCTCTGAAGCACTTGATAGAGCTGGACAATTATAGAAAAAAAGATAGGAAAATATAGAAAAAAAAGATAGGAAAAAGATTGAGCCCATTTGTGTCCAAACGAATGAGAAAAAAAANCCTGCACCAGTCGGCTATGGTGCCCAGTCGCCACTTCAGGGGTCATAGGGGCTTACCGCAACTTCGAGACACGGGTATACCGACCTCCCTCGTGGAAACGGAAAGCTAGGGGAGTAAAGTGTACGACCCACATGCATGCGCCTGGAGCCTTCAACCAGCCACCGAACCATTGGCCAACCATCAAGGAGAAAACTTCCATCAAAAACATCAAGTAGCCGGTCAGAAACCTAGAATAGTTGTGGAGTATAAGTTCCAGACAAGATCAGTGTGGGAAAGATCAGGATATCGGATCGAACACGCTAGAAAACTGTTTGGAGAGCAATCATTCGAGTGATTCATGAACGAGTAGATGAGGATGGGGCAAGCTCAGCCTCAAACCACATCAGGAATGCCTAGTGACTCTAGAACATTGATCTTTTTAATGGCTCTTTTGAATTGGCCGGAGTTTGTGAGTTCCAGGAGCCGTGAGGGCAGAGCTTCCAGCCATTTCGCAGTTCTTACAGTGAAGCTGTTCAACCACAGTTCGCGACGCCATTTGCCCATCTTGTGGTTAAGAATTCGAAAAGATCCTCTTCGGCCTGATGTAGGTAAAAACGTCCAGTAAGTCGACGGCTTAATGCGAAGTTCACCTTTCAGAAGCTTGAATGCTAAAATTAAATCGGATTGAACCCGTCTATAGTAAAGACTTTTCAAATTCAATCTCTTCAGACGTTCTTGATACTCGGGTAAGGCCTGTGGGTAATTTCTGGAAGGAAAGACTCGATAAAATAGAATCCTAGTAAAAGTTCTCTGAATTCTTTCTATTTTTTGAACATCACCCACTGAAGAAGGACTCCAAACGGGACTACAGTACTCTATTACTGGTAAAACATACATTGTATACAGCTTAATCCAGACTGTAGTTTCGGAACTATGTATATTTCTGAACAGCATGTGGACTAGCTTGAGTCCCTTTTCAGAAACGGCTTCTATGTGAGCGCTCCACTTCAGGCTTTGGGTCAAATTCACTCCAAGATCTTTTGTGCTATCGCACTTTCTTATTGGAGTTCCATCAGGGAAGCAGACGTCCAATTGGGGCAGTCCTAATGTGAGCAGATGAGTTTTATTCAGATTGATATTGAGTCCCCATTGGGTACACCAATTGTTCATCTTCTTTACGGCCAGATTCAGAAGATTTTGGGCGCTTTCTTTATCATTTTCGTTAAAAGCAATGGATATTTTTATATCGTCAGCATAGGCTGCTATCTGAAGTCTAGTATCAATTCGAATATGGTTCACAAGGTCATAAGTGTAAATAAGAAAGAGAAGTGGCGAAAGGCTGCCACCCTGAGGAACTCCCGAAGTGCATTCTCTAGAGGTGGATACATAATCATCAAAGCGGACTCTCATTTTCCATCCTGTCAAATACGATTGGAACCACCCAAGTGCCGATCCTCGAACACCAATGCTTTCAAGTTTAGCTAATAGGCCGGATCTGCACATCTTATGCTGATCTTATGCTTTTTCAGAAATCGGTAATAAAGTGCTGTGATCTAATCATTGGTATGCTGAATGGAGGGGGAGGGGGTGGGAGGGACATTTCGTGAATGGGTGACTTTGTTAGTTGACGCGCCTTGGCGTACGCGCCCCGCGCTAACGGCCTTACCATTAAGGTATATTATTTCCCAAGCAGAGATGCAACACCTCCAGCGTTGACAGAAAACGGTGTCCAGCCTTGTGAACGGGTGACACAAACACACACTTAAACACATCATTGAACGCCTTCAGCTCTTTAGACACAATCCAATCATGGTCTCAACGAAAAAAAACGCTCAACGCTCATCGCTGTACTCTGAGCTGGTACGTTGTAATGATGCTGTGCTAAAGCGCGGACGCTGACACAACATCGGCCTTAACGGAGCCTGTCCAGCGTTGTCAACGGGTGGACCAGTAATACTCCGCGCTAGGCGCTCATCGCTGCACTCCGAAAGCGCGCGGTAGGCACATGCTCTCGCTGATCGCACAGTGAAACTGGGTGTCCCGCAGTAGTCGTTCCTGCCAATCTCTTCTTTTCTTACGCGGAAAGATAATGTGTATGACACGATTTTGAGCTCCATCTGAGCATGACGACCCATTTACTAACCCATTGACGACCAAGCAGTCCATATGTGGACTGCGCTTTTTCGGCCATGAGGGACCGTGCAGTCCACATGTGGACAGCAGTTACATTTTTTGTTTTATTCATCAATATTTCAACTCTTTCACAATTTTTCTTCTCAAATCATTACAACAGACCTAAATGAAACGACATACAGCGTGGTTCTAGAAAATCCTCCAGTTTTGCAACTGTAAAGGTGTTTTTTCGAAAGAGTACATTACCTTGGTGAATTCTTCGTTCGTTGAACAACTTCAGAGTTCATTACCTTAGTGAATTCTTCGTTCGTTGAACAACTTCAAAATATGAGATACTTTGAAAAGACGGTCGCCACCAGCATTTTCGCTGTTATCGACCGAATGCAAAGCTTGTTCCCCGAAACATTTCTGGTAATGATTGAACTTATAATTGATTGCTACTGAACTCCTAATTGAGTTACCATTAGACTGCGTGCCGTTCTATAACAAAGATCAACAGTCACTCAATGTGGGCATTCTTACCGAACCCATCTGAAGGTGTATTCTGGAAACCTTATAAATTTCTATTATTAACTTCAAAGAACGGTCATGCTGGACCATGTAGCCCACATGTGGGCTGCAGTCGCGAGAGGGCGAAAGGCGCGCCGGTCCCACGCGGCGCTTTTCCCGCAAAACGTCATGGTCGTCGATGGGTTAATGCACTAACAGCGATGGCATGCAACGGCTGATAACCGAGCGTAGGAATAAAGAGTGTTGTAACAGGTCGCCGCGCCACATCACACAAAACGAAACTCTAGGACTTGAATATAAGATACTCGCCTTATGAAAGGTTGAGGTGCATAGGCAATGAAGTGCCATCTTGACTCCTCGGCTGGACGTTTTTGGCGAAATCAGGATGCTGCACTTGTGCTCTTGAAGCTCAAGAAGGGATGTCATCCATTCGAGATCGTCAGCGGATAACCGGCGAACGAGCGCCTACAACTAAATATACGTCAGCAATATTTGGTAAATTGAATAGAGTTTTTGTCCAACCTTCTCTACACACACAACAAAGTGTGATCAAGAACCCATTAATAACCCTGTGGGAGGCACGTTCCAGGAACCTCCCTAGAATTTCTAGGGAGGTTTCTGGAACGTGCCTCCTACAGGGTTATTAGCGGGTTCTTAGACGTTGGTACCTGTTTTGCTTGTACATTCATTTGAACGAAAGTGGCACGACGGCTTCTTCGCACTCGAAACACATGGAGACGTGAGTGGAAGTATGGCTCACTTTTACTAGAAACTTATGTTTTGAAGGTGACTCTAAAAATCGCTCTCCACACTACGCATGTTCATAAGCTTGAGCATCGCGATGAGCTAGAGTTGAGCAAGATAATGCGGAAGGCCTGACTGACGACATCCACGGCAAGGGAGTCGCAGACGTCAGGAACTCAGTCTATATGAACGACGAGCACGAGCGTCCGAGCTCTATACAAATACATGGGCCAGTAGAATTACCTGACGACATAGGAGGCTAAACGTGCAGAATTACTCCACACAACGCGCTAAGGTCAGTGTATTTGTGGGGCTGTCTCAAAATAGTCGGCAATAGGTAGGAGCTGTTTCTGTATGATACCTGCTAACGAGTTTAAGAAGCGTGCCGGGTAGAGCCACAGTGGTGTCGTAGTTCTATGCCCCAGTGTGCGTAGCACGCGTTGTTGAGTAGTAGAAAATGTATTGCTTCAAAAGATGGCTTGATGCAGGAACCTGGACACGGCTTGAGCCCAAACTTAATGCTGAAATGTCAGTGAAGAAAGCTGCGCTCATATTCATGTTACACATTCAGCAGGACATTCAGTAAATAACATTTGGCTGAGTGACAGCAAAGAGTTTGCCTTGCACTCCAGGCGGGTGTTGGGGGTCCATGTCTCCCCTACCGGCCCTACCGGCAGAGCAACACCCTCGTTCAGATTGTTCAGAATATAGCTATTATACTTGTAACATCAGACAAAATGAAATTGATGCGTTCACAGATTTCACGAAAAGTATTATAGATTGAAGCCATGGAAAGCGGACTGTATCACTCCTTCTCACCCAAGAGCTGGGCATGAAGTTGATTCATGGTGACAATGCCGACGTCGTCGAACGTGGGACGAGGAGTGCGCGCTGCAGTTTGAAGTGCATATCTCTGGTCTGTAATTTTCAACTGCTTAAAGCAATTGAGAGTTTGAAATGAAGCGAAATGTGGGGAGGTG